ACTTTTTCTATATATTGAAATTTTTTGTTATTGTTTGTTTTTTTTCTTGTTTTCAATAATTATTATAGATATATCTATAATTATCCTTGTGTAATTATTTTCATATACTTATTAAGAAAGATGAAATATAACCATTTTGCTAATACTTTTTATAAAAACTTTCATTAATATTGTTTTACTTATATAAGAATCACATTATTTGATAAATATTATACATTAAATAAAATGCTTTTAAACTTCACATTGTTATTCTTTTTTATTACACAGCTTACCAACTGATCAACAGCTATTATTATAATTGCCCATTCACACCTTTTGACCAGTTGATAAGGGATTAAACATCCCCTATATAATCTATATTGTCTGCAAAGTCTAAAATCCTTCTTTATTTAACTTGTCTGCAAAATCCCTCTATGTTTAACTTGTCTGCAAAGTCGTCTGCAAAGTATACCGTCCCTATACATGTGTACTTTCATTTTGGATTGGAGAATTTGGCATAACGGAAAAAAAGGTTTGTTATAGCTTTATAAGCTGTTTTGATTGAACAGTTATTACAAATAATAATATAATTTGATCATATTTATATGCGCAATACAATGAAATATGCATTCATTTCGAATAAACTGCCGTTTAGTCGGGTAATTTTGAAGAAAACCCAGCGGTCAGATCACTGTCGAGTTACACTTGCGGTGACTTCGAGATTACATATCTTCTTATAACTTGAAATGATTGTAATGACAACTTTAATTCCTTTAAGAGTAATCAATTCCCTACCATTTGGTACCAAATATTGAAAATTGGTTGAAAAAATGTTGAAGTTATGGAGTTCATATTAAGATGAGTGCTGAAAATTGAGCGGCGAGTTGCATACCTTTACTAAATATATACATGTGTATGTATCAATTTTTTATTTTTTGTAGGAAATGAAGGTTATTGAATTAAAAGCATAAACCAAATATTAAAACATGTTCAAATGAAAAATATTGTATTTTACATGGTTTTGAGAGGTAGGAGGGCTGTAGAGTGGGTGTGGGGGGGGGGGGGAGGGGGCTGCGGGCGGTAGTGACCAATCAACGCGCCGATTACCTATGGTTTCACCTGGCTGACCGCAGAAGATTGCCTGGCCGTTTCACCTGGCTGACCGCTTAAGATGACCGACTTTAAGATTCGGGAAGCATTTTAGGTGACCGTTGACCGCGGACAGCAGGTGACCGTTGAAAAGATGTATAAAATAGAGTGGTTTTCGTCGGGAGCGTCACAAAATGGCCGTTAAGGTCAGGTGACCGCCGATAAGAGGTGACCGTTAGTACAGTCTCGACTGTATAGTCACCTAGTAGTATAGGAGCAGGACAGAATGTGATAATTTTTTGAAAGTTGGTAAACTTTTTAATAATTTTCAAATAACCTAAACTTTTTGTTGGCAAAAACTGCTTCTAAACATTCTTTTTACTAAATTACAATAAGGTAGTTAGAAATGTATTGACCACAGGCCACTGACTTGGGAAAGATTTTTGAAAAATTGTTTTTATATCAACAAAAACATAGATAAATCATGTAAGATATAAAAATATATTATCAGGGTTGCCAGCACTTTGGTGAAATAAAATTCCCTGACTTTTCCCTGACTTTTCACTGACCAATTCATGTTTTTCACTGACCAAAATCGTCAAACACATAAACGTCCTCCTGACCTCCCCTTTAAGCCGTCCAATCCTCCCATTATATTTTTGCATGTAAACTTGTATTTATTTTCCAAAAATATAAAACATTTACATCAAAGTAATGATTCAAACATTGTGTTCTACTATTCTTAACTATTTCTATTCAAATACAGTGTGACTGTTGGTCAGTGAAACATATGACATAAAAATCAGAAGAATCATAATATAAGCATCTGTATTAGAAATCACATAAGTCACTCTTTCCTTCCCAGTAGTAACACATAAAACACCAAGACTATAAGAGTAATACTTGTATGACAAAACTTAAAATTCAAACATCTCTAAACTATAAGAACAATAAACATTTAACACAGTTACTTGTATAAGGCATTCATGAATAAACTCCACTGATTGTGAAGACAAGAACATAGGGCTCATTTTGGCATATCATGAAATAATCAGTATAAAATTAAAGACTTTGAATGAGTGAAGTAAGTTAGTTTGAAAAAAAGTTAGAGTGAAAAACATAGCATTGCATAATTTAACCAGTTTCATCATGTTTGCAAGACAAATTCCTCTTGTACAATTTCTTAGTGTCAAAGCAAAAAGCAAAGAAGGGCTTTTTAATTACTAACAAAATCTAGTCAGTATAGTATTACATGTATACCAAACTACCATATTGGCATATAACCTGCTTTGATTTTTGCTTTGACACTAAGAAATTGTACAAGAATATTTGTCTTGCAAACATTGATGGAAACTGGTTAAATTATGCAACAGAAATTACGTATTAGTCAGCTCTGGAGGCAAGGGTTGCAAAGCCTTTCAGTCTTTAGGCTGAATGATGTTCTAAGGTAAATAATGGGTATTATAATCACTAAGTTGACATATAATGCTTCTTAATATGATAGTTTACTGTTATTTGAATTTAATGCTAACTGTGAGAGTGATAAAGTCAAATATTAAATGCCTAAAGACTGCCATAGCCAAGAAAGACCTTCAATGCGTATATTTTTCGACTTTTGAAATAATTTTTCCCTGACTTTTCATTGACTTTTCAGGATTTTCATTTTTCACTGACCAAATTTCAAAATTCCCTAACAATTCCCTGACCTTGAAAAAATACCCAATTTCCCTGACTTTTCAAGTCCGCTGGCAACCCTGATTATTGATGCTGATTTTCCTGTCATTTTTTTACATAAAAATTTAAGTGTCGATTTTATCTACTGTTGTGGGGTTAGAAGACCATGTTTTGTATACCTCATTCAAGACCTTAAAGAATTACCAGTTTCCATTTTCATATGTAATTCTTGTAGTGTAATGCAAAGTCTTTGAACTGAACTTTGTTTAGGTTGTTCAACATTTAAAATATACAGGAAGATAATTAACCCTTTCCCTCATGAGCATATTGTGAAAAATGGCCGTTTTCACTTAGTCTATAAAAAGCCTCCTGTTACAAGTTCAAACTGCTATGAAACTATGAAAAATGCTTCAATACTAATCAAACTTAGCACAAATGTTGACTGGACCATTGCCTTTGTAATGACATGCTCAGTCTTAAATTTCCTGTTACCATGGCAACGAGGGGACATCTCAAAATTGCCAAAAATCAATTTTTTGCCTCGATTTTTTCCATCAAAATTTATTTCAAAGTGCTGCAACTTCCCAAGGGATTGAGATAGAGTCAAAGGCTTTTTAGCATTGGTTACACGTTACCTTATGATCGACCTGGGGTCATTTTTAGCCTCTCACAAGTCCAAAATTTTCTTGGCCATGAGGGGAAATCCGCCCCCCTTCAAACCCCCCAAACAAAAGGGGGCACATCCCCCTTCTGGCAACCTCCTGATGTATCTTTTGGATGGGGGGGGGGGGGAGGGGGCGGCGCCGAAAAAGTGCTCACTTTTTTTTAGCAACATTTTCTCAAACGAAAACATGTGTTTGGGCCCAAATAGGACATTTTTCACTATTTCAGGCCTAAAAAAGGGGAGGGGGGTCGAAAGTGCGTTGTTTCGCGTATATATGAGGTAAAGGGTTAAGATATTGCAAAAAATATGTGATTTAGTGTCGGAGTTATCTCCCCATCCAGTACCTATAAATGAAATTTTCAGTGTCAGTTCTAGTTGGGTGCCACCATTTTCAATGTACTCTACTGTGAGATAATAGGCAGGGTATTCCGATAATTGATGAACTTTCCCAACCTTTCGTATTAATAGCAAGCTCAAAGTGCAGGCTGCTAGCAATGCAAGCTTTACGGGAATGCGAGTACTTTTTGCAGTACTTCCGGCGAAAGTTTTCAAAACCATCACTATCTAGCCGGTACTCGTGTTACCGTAAAGCTAGGCCCTTCAGGCCAGCTCTTCGAGCTCGCAATTACTATAGGCTCAGGGTTGTTTTTAACATTTTTTACAGAAGGTTTGTTTTGAACTTGAGGCGGTCATTTCTGTCTTTATCATGCATAACAAAGAGTGTTTTCTTAATTTTGAGGCGGCCCATAATGCATTTGAGACAGGCATTTTGGCCTCCTGCCGCCTCTTAATGACAACCCTGTTATAGGTATTGCAATTCTTGTCTAACAAATATAATGTAAAATTTAATTAAATGACATATCAGCAAATGACGTTGTTCTTTAAAAAAAATGATAAAAAAAATAAAACCAACAGCTTTTCATGTAGGATGGTCCCGTATGGTACCACTGTTCTTATTATTTCCAGCAAATTGTACAAATAAAAAAGGACTTGCATTTATTATTTTATTGAATTGTGTTTAGCTGTTGCATCTTGACTTTAAAATACACATGTCATTCATAGAATAACTCAATGATTTAAATTAGAAACATCTATGGCCAGTCAGCCATGTTTTGAATGGGAGTTTAAACTGAGAGCACTACGGTACCGTGGTATGTTAATTGATGGTGACCTCTTTGGCTTCAGTATAATTTTTTGTAACAGAATATGATGTCACAACAGTTTCATCAGACGACCTTCACTTGTCGGAACATGAAATTGTAAGTTTAACCGTTAAATATGGGGTAAAATAAAGAAGTATTTTCAACACACACGGACAGCTTTGGATTTTCCTATCAATTAAATTAAAAAAAAATTTCTAACAATTTCTATCCAAATTCCAAAAAGCAGCAGTTCCACATTCACTTTAATGGTGGAAACAGTATTTGGTGGCAAAATGTGTAAAGCAACAAATTTTCTGACTACATCGGAATGGGCAAGGACGCGGTACCCGCGGGGAGTACTATATTTTAGGTACGTATTGTTTTGAGTACGTTTAACCAACCTATTTTATTTTAAGACTCATTTGAGATGAAAAATAATGAATCAAACTTACATGCGAAGAGATTTTGCAGACATTGTAACTTATTTTCAAATTTAAGTATATTGAGATCATTGAATTGTAACTGTTCTTGTTTTAATATCAATTCAAATTTTCCGGTTTTATCTTGGCGTCATGGGAGCTGACATATTGAAGGTAAGAGGTGAATGTGAGAAAATTATATATAAGAATCGTTTCCTATATTTGAAAATAATTGAAGACATAAAGACATAAGTATAAATATTAGTTTGTAAATATATATATAAAATAATCGAATTATACTTGGCATAATTGTCAAACAATATCCGCGAAAGTTATTCACCCCGGTTCTACTTTGTTTACAAATGGCTGAATTTCCAAGTCTATGCATGTAATGAATTAAGGAGAGAAATTCAATATGACAGATGCTTTTGGCTCAATAACTTGGTGGGGATTCAGTCCCGCATTAGACTTGCAAGATGGTGGTAAAATATCATTTTTATTTTAACTCCAAAAAATAATAATAAATAATGACTTGAGACTGATTGCAGTATGATGAAGGGATAGTCCAATAAATTAGACGTTACAGGCTTGTTATAGTTTTTTATTACATGCTTTTCGGTGGTTTATAGAAATATATCAGTGAAATAAAAATGGTTATTTCACTGTTTTAAACAGTGAAATTCTCAATTTGATAATTTCACTGTTTTTAATTTAAGCCCCTTACGTTGTTTCAGTGAAATACCAGCGTGCACAGTACTGGGAACCAACTTTATAACGTGACGTCATAAATGACGTAACGTTGTATTATTATTTGGCGCGCTTTTCATTCAGTATTAGGTTTAATGTCTTTTTAAAACGTTTCTTTGCATATAATAAAAAGAAAATTTGTTTAGTTTAGTGTAAGATCGAAATATATTTCACCTTGTGAACACCAAAAGTTCATATTTCACTCGTGGCTGCGCCACTCGTGAAATATACCTTTTGGTGCTCACTCGGTGAAATATATTCCGATCTTACACTGAACTAAACAAATATCCTCTATATGTCGGTCAAGCCTGACGATGTTGCTTTGCCCAAAAGCAAAAATATCTCAAAGCGACGTCATATTTATAGGACTAGATGAAGGGAATGGTCAATGGATTGAAACTTCACACACTTGTTCTCTGTGATTATCTAACATGTAACTCTTATTTGCTTTTTTGAAAAATTATGCCCCTTTTTCAACTTAGAAATTCTTAGTTAAGTTTTTGCGTGTAAGCTGGTATCTCCATAACTACTGAAGGGAATGGATTGAAACTTCGCACATTTGTTCTCTGTGATTATCTAATAATATGAAATTAGGTGCTACCTATGGCACGGAAAACTCTGATGAATTATGATATTAGCATAACATGTTTACTGTACATGTAAACCAGATTTTTCTTGCAGGTATTTTGTACCGTAAACAAAACAAATAAATTGGTGTGTTCAACCTATCATCGGGGCGCCCGAAAATCTCCGAACGTAAAGGGGGGCCACTGCGCATGCCTCGGCGTTTGGAAAATTCCGGCCGCCATTTTTGTTAATCTCTAATCACAGTTGTTGTTTTAACATTATTTTTTAATGTGCTTATTTATCAAAAGGATACGTTAAAGTAACTTTTTATATTTATAATCGTTACTATAGTTCTATTAATGAAATGCATGCTTATTTTCTGATTTTGTACATCATTCTTTCACCGGAAGTGTTATTTAACATGCGTCTGCTAGCAATAGTCTGAATTATGTAGACGCTCATTAAAAGCGCTCTGATATCTATATTTAGCTCAAAAGGATTTCAAAATGGCGGCGCCGAGTTAACTAAGGATTTTTTCACAGCTCATTTGGTATAGGATATTATATTTTTTTGAAATTTTCATTTACTTTTAATTTGATTTTATTTGAATTGATACGCTTCATACATGTTATCTAAATGCGCTACAGCCCTCGCGTGGCTTTGGCCCGCTCGGGCTTTCCCCGTATGATTGGCACAAGTCCCATAAACTCTGATTTGCTTTTTTGCATAATTATGCCCCTTTTTGGACTTAGAAATCCTTAGTTAAATTTTTTGCGTGTAAGCTGGTAACTCCAAAAATTACTGAAGGGAATGGATTGAAACTTCACACACTTGTTTTTGGGACAATTTTATGCATTCATAATTATAAAGCAGTGATTTACTCGATAAAACATCTAAATAACAAGCCTTTGTACCTTTTCGGACAATTTTATGTATTCATACAGGTAAGCATTATTATACTTGTTGAAACACCCTTGTGACAACTTTTTCGAATAGTCGAGCGTTACTGTCCTCCGACAGTTCTTGTTTTTATTTTACAATTCTCATTTTTAAGGTGTCATTTGGGGTAAAGGATCAACTCGGCCCTTTACCAACTCGGCACGGGTCAACTCGGCATAGGTCAACTCAGACTTATTATGGCCGAGTTGACCCATTTTGAGTTGGAATAGGGCCGAGCTGACTTGGGGGCCGAGTATGTTTTAGAGCCAAGCTGACCCTGATACCTCATTCAGTATTTCATTTTCAATCAGAAAATATCTGCAATGTTCTTAACTGTAACAATCATGAATGTTGAAATTTTTCAGATCATATGAAGGCAATGAAAGATTTGAGTCTTTCTGATGCAAAAGAGAGTAAGTCAATTTTATATTTTTTAGCTATATAAGTTATTTTTGTCAATTATAAAATCTGAGTGTGATAAGTTTGTCAAATTATGTACATATATTATATTATGTTTATGGAATTACCAAAAGATAGCAATATATATAGGTAGCTAAATATTGTATTGTATAGATTTATTATTATTAAGTTTATTATTATTAATAGTTAACATATATTGATATTTCTTTCACATGAGCTCAATATCTTTTTGTTGTTGTTAATTATTATTCATTAGTATCATTTTTGGTAATGATTTAGATAAATATATTGTTTTTTTTTCAGATGAGCTCAATATTTTATTAATTGGTGCTGGTGACTTGCGGCATGTTCTGATGACAATAGCTAAATCATACAGACATACTAGAAAGAAATTAAATGTAAGTGCCATTGATGTATTACTCTCAGTTTTCACATATTCCAAGTTTTCTATCAATCCTCTAACTGCTGAATTTCTTAAATGAGCCGCATCACGACAAAAGCAACATAGTGTGTTTGCAACCAGCATGGATCCAGACCAGCCTGATTAGGATCCATGCTGTTCACTATCAATTTCTTTACTTGTAATAGAGTTGGTGTTAGCGAACAGCATGGATCCTGATCAGACTGCGCGGATGCGCAGGCTGGTCTGGAGCCATGCTGGTCGCAAACGCACTATGTTGGTTTTGTTGTGACGTGGCTTATATGTCCAGCTTCAGTTCTGGGGCTATCAAGATGAAAATGGAAAGTTGGTAAGCCAACAATATACAACCGCAGGTCAGATGGTATGGATTTGCAGGCCCAGGCCTGGCTCTCTACTGGTGGAAAAGGCTAATCACTTACGTTACAGCAGTCAAAGGGTTAAAGGTGTTGATATTTTTTGTGGTTATAAGAACTGGACTGAGGTCAAAAAGCCTAAAAAACATAAAACTTTAATTTCTTAGGCCATCCTTAAAAAAATGTTTGTTTGCAGTAACCCGACCCAGAATTTTCAAAGTGGGTAGGTAGGTCGATTTTTTTTTTTTTTTTTTTTTTTTTTTGAACTGTACTCCCAAATAAACATGGAATTTCAAAATGCTGGACAATATATGCTTTGATAATCTAGTAACAATTAATAAATTGATAACGGAATTCTAATTTAATAAGACCTGTTTTATTTCTTTTATTTACCTTTAAAAGAACGAAAACAAAGCAAAAGGCATAATTTTCTGATTCAAAAAAAAAATAATTTTTTATCCAGACCATGAAAAAAAATTTGAGTAGGGGCAAATTTTGTGAGTCGGTCGCGTTACTGCAAACAAACATTTTTTTAAGGATGGCCTTATCTAGATCAGCTTGGAGAATTAAAACGAAAGATATGCAAACGAAAGTATAGAAATATACTTGGAAATAAATTGAAAAATATTTTGTGTGGATTTTTAGCCAGATTTGAGTAATTTTTGGTCATTTTTCACAATTAGTTTTAATTTTTCTGGAAAGAACTGAGAGAATGAGTTATCTGAAATTTTGCACCAAAGTTATTGGTGTAAATCTACAACAAATGGAATTCTAATCTATAAAAAATATTTCCACTCTGCCAATTGTCAAAAACCCTCAGTGGAGGCCTTTTAACAAGAAATTTAGATCATTTGCATACTTATTGATTTCATAAAGTACAACATTTTTAGCTCACCTGAGCATATGCTCAGGGTGAGCTATTAGGATCACTCTTCGTCCGTCGTCTGTCGTCCGTCGTCCGTTGTCTGTTCACACTTTTAAAACGACATCTCCTCTGAAACCATAAGGCAGATCATAATGAAACTTCACAGGGACGTTCCTTGTGTGAAGCCTTAACAAAGTTGTTCAAAGAATTCCATTCCATGCAGAACTCTGGTTGCCATGGCAACCGAAAGAAAAAACTTTAAATATCTTCTTTTAATAAACCCAGAGAGCTAGAGCTTAGATATTTGGCATGAAACATCTTCTAGTGAGTGTCTACAAAGTTTGTTCAAATAAAAGCCCTGGGGTCAAAATTGGCCCCGCCTTAGGGGGTCATTGATTTTCCCTATATGCAGATAGTAAAAACTTAAAAAATCTTCTTTTAAAGAACCAAAAGAGCTAGAGCTAAGATATTTAGCATGAAACATCTTCTAGTGAGTGTCTACAAAGTTTGTTCAAATAAAAGCCCTGGGGTCAAAATTGGCCCCGCCTTAGGGGGTCATTGATTTTCCCTATATGCATATAGTAAAAACTTAAAAAATCTTCTTTTAAAGAACCAAAAGAGCTAGAGCTAAGATATTTAGCATGAAACATCTTCTAGTGAGTGTCTACAAAGTTTGTTCAAATAAAAGCCCTGGGGTCAAAATTGGCCCGGCCCCAGGGGGTCATTGATTTTCCCTATATGCATATAGTAAAAACTTAAAAAATCTTCTTTTAAAGAACTCAAAGAGCTAGAGCTAAGATATTTAGCATGAAACATATTCTAATGGTTGTCTACCAAGTTTGTTCAAATAAAAGCCCTGGGGTCAAAATTGGCCCCGCCCCGGGGGTCATTGATTTTCCTTATATATGTGTATAGCAAAAACTTAAAAAATCTTCTTTGAAAAAACCCAAATAGCTAGAGTTTAGATATTAAGCATGAAACATCTTCTAGTGAGTGTCTACAAAGTTTGTTCAGATAAAAGCCCTGGGGTCAAAATTGGCCCTGCCCCGGGGGTCATTGATTTTCCTTATATGTGTATAGCAAAAACTTAAAAATTTTTTTGAAAAAACCCAAATAGCTAGAGATTAGATATTAAGCATGAAACATGTTCTAGTAAGTGTCTACAAAGTTTGTTCAAATAAAAGCCCTGGGGTCAAAACTGGCCCCCCCCAGTGGTGTCATTGTTTTTAACTATATGTGTATAGTAATAACTTAAAAAATCTTCTTTTAAAAAACCCAATGAGCTACAGCTTAGATGTTTAGCATGAAACATCTTCTTATGGGTGTCTACCAAGTTTGTTCAAATAAAAGCCCTTGGGTTAAAATTGGCCCTGCCGGGGGTGGGGGGGGGCAGATCATTGTTTTTCATTATATGTGTATAGTAAAAACTTAACATCATGAAACATCTTCTTATGAGTGTCTTCCAAGTTTGTTCAAATAAAAGCCCTGGGGTTTAAACTTGCCCCGCTCCGGGGACCTATATACAGGTGAGCGACCTCAGGGCCATCATGGCCCTCTTGTTTAAAAAATTGATGTTTATGAATTGATTTTATATATCGGTAGATATTCATTTTTGAAGAAGATGATAACTTAAATTTTGATTTTTTATATAAGTAGAAATATATTCGGTCAGCAGTTTATAGGTCTATACTATTCTTTTTTTTTTATACAGGAATATAGATTTAACATGTTGAATTTGTCCGGCTTTAAGTTTAGCACTGTCCATATGAAAAAAATACATAAATGAGCCGCGCCAAGACAAAACCGACATAGTGTGTTTTTCATGGCATGGCTCAAATTTAGTTAAACCAGTATAGAGCCTGCAATGGTGTGCAGTCAGGTCTGGCTTTATACTGGTGGAAAAGTCTATACATGGTTGCAGTAGGTCAACATTACTAGTAATTAGTTTTCAAATGTATGTAAAGTTTGAAAAATGTACTGTAAAATATCATTTCATTTACATGTATGTTTGCCTATGTCAGAAAAGCATAGGTATTGCATATTGTTTTTCGGGTTTTTTTTTTCAGTTTTATGTGCTAGAAAGTAACTTAGAATTGTATGCTAGAGGAATGCTGTTTCTAACAATTGCTCTGGAACCACAGTACAGAATGGGACTTCAAGGTATACACAAAATAAAATGATACTTTTAATATTAAGATAGTCTTGAAACTAGGAGAAATGGTGAAAGAATTTTAGTATTTTACTATATATTTGAAATATTAGTATTTTGGTGAATTCACATAATCTTTTGTGTAAATACATGTATCTACTGTATAATAATTGGAAGGTCAGTGGTTCTACTCAGGTGCCTGATTGTGTCTTTAAAAATGCAATCCATGTTTCCTCATATTTCACCAATACTGCACCTAGGATCATTGGTTTGAGCCATACTGGTGTCACATCCATGTTTCCTTATATGACACCAATACTGCACCTAGGATCATTGGTCTGAACCAGACTGGTGTCACATCCATGTTTCCACATATTTCACCAATACTGCACCTAGGATCATTGGTCTGAACCAGACTGGTGTCACATCCATGTTTCCACATATTTCACCAATACTGCACCTAGGATCATTGGTCTGAACCAGACTGGTGTCACATCCATGTTTCCTCATATGACACCAATACTGCATCTAGGATCATTGGTTTGAGCCATACTGGTGTCACATCCATGTTTCCTTATATGACACCAATACTGTATCTAGGACCATGGGTTGAGCCATTCTGGTGTCACATCCATGGTTCCTCATATGATACAAATACTGCATCTAGGATCATGGGTTGATCCATTCTGGTGTCACATCCATGTTTCCTCATATGGCACCAATACTGCATCTAGGATCATGGGTTTGAGCCATACTGGTGTCACATCCATGTTTCCTTATATGACACCAATACTGCACCTAGGATCATTGGTCTGAACCAGACTGGTGTCACATCCATGTTTCCACATATTTCACCAATACTGCACCTAGGATCATTGGTCTGAACCAGACTGGTGTCACATCCATGTTTCCTAATATTGCACCAATTCTGCATAGTTAGATTCTGGAAGCGGATTCAACAGTGGTTTAAAAAATTGATCTTGAATAAATAAGGTTAATCTAAATAATTGAGATTTTATGTCAATAAAAGCAACTTTGTAAATGATTTTTGTTGTTTTTTTTATCAGAAAAGACAGAGCTATTCCTTGAAGTTTATGGCAATATCCTAGTGAGAAAACAGTCAGAAGAATATATAGTCAAAATGGCAACAGAATTTATCAAGTAAGTTGAGAGAACAAAAGTTGTCTTATTTACACAGATTTGATCTTTATTAAACTCATAATTATGTTGAAAAATATAATTGATTTTTATGAATTAATAAAAAAATTATTACCTTGATATTTATTGTAGTTAAGTATTTCAATCAATTCAATGTAATTATAGAAGTATCTTTATGTGTTCTATATTGGTGATGATTCTTTGACATAATTATAAATGCACCATAATTTTACCAAAATTATGGGGCGTCCGTGGCCGAGTGGTTAAGGTCGTTGACTTCAAACCACTTGCCCCTCACCGCTGTAGGTTCGAATCCCGACAGGGACTTTGGATTCTTTCATGTGAGAAAGCTATCCAGCTAGCTTACGGAACGTCGGTGGTTCTACTCAAGCGCTCGTTCGTGCCTGAAATAATGCACGGAAGGGCACCTGAGGTCTTCCTCCACCAGTAAAAGCTGGAACGTTGCGATATGACCTATACTGTGTTGATGTGACGTAAAACCCAAAACAAACAAAAAAAATTTACCAAAATCATTTGTTTTGCATTATACACATTCAATTGTAATTTAAAACACTTATCATCAACTTCATTTCAGAATGGTTACAGATTTTGACTATTTGGAGAAAAAGTTACCTGTAGTTGACTTAAGCCAATTGAAGGTGACTTTTTTATTGTCTATACTATAAGTAATAAATAAATTTAAATTATTTGTATTTATTGCGATTTCATCTTTGAAGATGGAATTTTTTAACCTAAGTGATTTTATTCACCTGTTCAATAAATTTAGTACTAAATCAACACTCATTCAATATCCTCTATATATATATATATGTATATTATGTTAATGTTTCTTCATTTTCAGTTTAAAGAAAGAGATTTTATGGAAGCAATATTCAAATTATGGAGAAACAGAGAAGTTGCTGGAATTTTTGAAGTGTCAAAATATTGGTGAGTTATTGTGAAGAAATTGTTTACTGTGAATTCACTTTATTTCATGGCCATGAAATTCGTGGTTTTGTCAAAAATGACATTTTTGTGGGTTCTAATCTTAAATTTGTGGATTTCTGTTTTTGCAGAAAAGTTGTTATACAAATCAAGCAATTAAAATATTGGTACAGCAAACAAAACAAAATTTTGTTGGATCTTTAATTTGTGGATTGATTTATCCATAAGAAGGACAAAAAATTAGTGTGTGACAAATAATAATAATGATTTTGCAGAAGATTCCTTTTACCACTTTTATTAGATTAATATAACCATTTAAGCTTGATTGTGGTGAAAGTTTAGAGCTTATCTGAACAATTCTTAAGTCTTATTTCCTGAAACTATTCAGTACTCCGGTGTCATATGTTGAAAGGCAGATGCCTTAACCCTAGACCATGTCTACGCTTACCACTTGTGTTTTAAAATAAGCACATCTTTTTTCTCTAGAGGCTTTTGTGGCTTAGGGGTGAAGGGCGTTGACTTTCAACCACTTGCCCCTCACCACTTTGATTCAAAGCCCGTCAGGGACTTTCCAGCTACTTAAATGCCCACTCATACCTGAAAAAAAAAATGCTCGGAGGGACACATGATGTCTTACTTGACCAGTGAAACTGGAAAGTCACCATATAACCATATGTAAAACCTAACCAACCCCCTTAAAAAATTCTCTAGTGAATAGAATAGGTGTTATATAATAATGTTGGTTACTGATTAAAATTTCTTATTGTTATCTATAGTAATAACTTGTTTTGTAAGTATGTGCAGCTAAACTATCTCTATACGGATGGCAAAGGCTTATCACTTTCAGTTCCAGAAGGTAAATGGGTTAATGTCAAAGGTTGGCCACTTTGGCTGAGTGGTTAAGGTGGCTGAATTTGCATAAATTGCCCCTCACATGACTGTGTTAATACAAATCCCTTTAAGTACTTCGGATTCTTTCATGTGAGATGATAATCCAGCTGAAAAGGTCATTGTTTCTAACTTGAGTGTCTCTCCATACCTGATATAATGCTAGGAGCGAAACCTCAACCAGAAATGCTGTTACATGAGATATACATTATTGTTGTGATTTGAAAGCAAGCATAAAAAAATAATTAGCCACAAAATTTCTAATAAAGTTTTTTTCTGCTTCTAGGCAACTGATTACCGGTAAACATTTTATTGCCTTCAAATGTTGCCTCCAATTTATTGCCTCCAAGTGAATCTGTTTGGTCCATTTTATAATATTTCTTATAATATTTTGATTTTCTGGACAAATGCTTTCTTATGTAACATTTTTATGATTGATTTTCAACCTGTTGATGTTTTTTTTACAGGGATTTGCGACAGAGACAATATCTAGGTGTAAGATATGATACAAAAGCAAATGTTTATGACTGGGATTATAATATGAGATTAGCACAAAGGGATGTAAGTAACAAACTCTTGATTCTAGTTAGTATATTACTGATGTTTTACAAAGATTGATGATAGTAATTACATTTTTACGTTCCTACATCAGATGCTGTGGTTCAGGCATATTGTTTTTGTCTGCTTGCCTGTGTGCTTTTCAGCAACTAAACTCTACAATAGCATCATAATTATTTAAGTTAGTGCCTCCAAACAGAGAGAAAATGACTATGTTCAAGACCACTAGATATGGATTTTTTTTGCCTTTAATGTATGTTGAAATTGTTGAAATATCACCTGTTGCTTTACCTGTTAATTCTTTTCTGTATAAATAGTTTTACATAAATCCAGTGGACTTAATAGACCTTATAACAATTTACCTTGCTGCCTTGACATGTCTTAGGCTGGTATATTGTACAATTTGTTTCATTATCACATTTATTTTGTACCACCACTCATATTAACACAATAATGATACTGTTGTGTCATGACCAAGTAGTTAACGCAACAGAACATTAATCTAAGGATTGCTCTCCACATGAGATTAAACTTCATCAGAGGCAAGCTGTTGTTTCCTTCAGCAAGAAACTTTATACTCATCGCTTAGTACTGGTTGGTTCCTGGAACGGATTTAAGAGTGTGTCTTTAAGCTTTTTGCTTCCTACACAATGGATTTACAATGTATTCTGTATAATCCAATGATCCTGTTGAAATGAAGATTGTTGTTAGTTCTAGAAAGCAGACTCTAAAGTGGTAAATGATATTAGCTGCAAGTATTAGCTTCACTTAATCAAGCTTGAATAAATGAACTAATATATATTTTGTTGGTTTTAGGGAGATATTGTCCACACACATGAATATCGGTCATGGAGAAATACAGGGGTAGCATTTGAGATAAGAGAAGGTGATTATGATGTACCAAATAAAACAATGGCTTCAGGTCTTATCCTGACACATGTAAGTTTCTATACTACATTACATTATGTAAATACTTCCAAAATCTTGAAAAATTAATCTGGCATTTTCAGCCCAAACTAATGTGTTTAAGCCATTATCAATCGGTTATTACATGTTTTGCGAGTTGAAGAAAATTGCTAAAATTTTCTAAAATATCAAGCAATCTGTCATTTAATTCTACCTTTGCGCGATTTGCTAATGTTTCCTCTCACGAAATGTCTGGAATTTTAAATTCACTAACTTTTTGACACATGTAAATATCCACTTACAGTAATTTATATCTTTTAATTATTACATAACTGAGAAATTTAAGAACTATGTTCTGTATTACAGCAAGGAGAGAAACATGCAAGACGAGGATACTGGGGTGATATTCTAGTTAGTCCATACGTTCCCATGGGAATACAATGCGAGGAAAAATCTTTCTTTAAGAAACAAAATAAACAATTTACAAAGGTATATTCTAAATTCTTATATTGAGGATATTCATCCCAATATTTAAAACACAAGTTTTGATATTTTTGCAAAGTATTCTTAACAGATATTTTGATATGTAACTAGTTTCTTTAAAGTGGATTGGTCTATAATGGGCACATTTTGTGTTATTTTTTTTAAATATGGATAAAAACTATACTGGGCGGGGACCATCAACTGGACACTTTTTTAACATTTTTCCATCCAGATTTCATGATTTCCAACCCAGAGACCTAAAAATTTGACACAGTACAGCTAGGTTCTTCTCCTAACTAACAAACTAGTTTGTTTATTTCTGATTGTATTGACACTTATATCTGAGGCTCGACAAGGAGGGTATCAAAATTACCTAAATTGTCTACACTACAGTACCATGTGTCCGGACAGATATGTACATGACGTGATTTAATTCAGATAAAAGCTTGGGTGTTTTGATTTTTGATTTTTAACATGATATACAATATTTCAGCAACAAATGCTGAAGTTTTGGATATTCTATTGTTTACTCTGCAAATGATTATAGCTGGTATATGAGGTCAGGCATTGCTTTCTTGACCCCCAAATTTCAACGTCAACATTCTTGAAATAGACATTAAAATATTACCATTTACGGAGGTTGAAATAAATTTATTTACTTAATTTTAGAAGAAACATGCATTTATTGTTGATAAAAAAGTGACTGACAACCACTGAACAAAGAAAATACTAAATTAAGCATTTTCAGGGCCGTCCGGGTTTGGTGGTTGTCCGGTTTTGGTGGTCCCCAACCAGTAGAAATGTATCATTTGGATATTCTTATAAAATATAAACGAAAAGAAATAAATCATAAAAAGTTCTTAGTGATTCAGTTTAAACATTTATATGAAAATAATATTTTGTTCTAGAACATTTTATTAGGAATTTATCTACTATATAAATAAATGTAATAACGGATCCTGTAGTATACAAAGATACTAGCATTTATAACTTATCCTGCATATTGGTCAAGATTAAGTCAATTGTGCAACTTCAGCAGGGTAACTATTGGCTATATACATAACATCCCAAATGTTTCAAATAATATTTGCTCTTTTTACCGTTATTGTTTGTTATGAGTATCAAGCATAGAATAGATAAGCAGGGGCTTCTGTGGCTGAGTGGTTAAGGTCATTGACTTCAAACCACTTTCACCTCACAGCTGTGGGTTCAAATCTCCACAGGGACTTTGGATTCTTTCATGCAAGGAAGCTGAAATAATGCACAGAAGGTCTTCTGCCACCAGTTCAGCCTGAAATTCACCATATGACCTAAACCCTAAAACCCAACAAATATATATATATGTAAATAAGCAAAGAAACTACATATGCTGAAAGTGTCATTGAAAATTGTTAAAAAGTTATTGAGTAGGATTATTCCCTATTGTTCTAAAAGAAAACTTAACTTACAGATTCAGTGACCATTTTAAACTGTTATTTTGTATAACTGTGTTTTAATGACTTGAACCTACTTATTCAAAAGTTAAAAATGTGAAAAAATCAATGATTATGAATATTCCACTGCTAAGATAACAACAGATCTAGTAAATGCTATTCGACATTTTATACTGGTAAGTTTTACAAATAATTAAAAATGAAATAAAAATGGTACCAAAAAATAGTTAAAGGAGCATTTGATATAATTATATGGAAAAAAAATGAGAAAAAAAAAAGAAGAAATTTTTTTAGTATATTATGTTTAAAATGTTTTATATGTTTTTTGATTCTTTTAAATTTCAGACCTCAGCAAATGTAGCAGAATATAATGTTATATCCATGTTTCATGAAATATCTACTGGCAAACCATATATTTCACCTGAACAAAAGGAAGAAATTGAAAAACCATCTGGACCTACTGTTACAGGTATAATATGTTACTACATGTAGTATTAACTTTTTATGTCAATGTATATAAATCTTTTCTTGGAAAAAATAAAACAACTTTATTTCAACATTAAAGAAATGATATTCGTAGAATTGATGAGTTGAAATATAATTTTCATTAATATTCAATTAAATCTTTAAATAGGATTAGGTGATCATTTTAATTGACTGATTACAGAAATTGTGGAAGAGGAAAATGATTTACAAAACAAACAAGAAGGGGAAAAGGTGGAAGAAGAGTCAGGGGAAGAGGATAAGGATGGGGGAGACACAAGTTCCTCAGAGAACAAACCATTAGATGCTGAATATGGTATGTGTTCTGGTTAAGCGATTACATATTTCATTCATCTTCATACATAAAGTTCATTCCGTTGGGTAAAAATTAAAGTGCCTTGTTTGGTGTATACCAGAATACAGTATATGTTTAGTCTCACTCTAATTTAAATCCTTGAATATTTACTAATGGTCAACATGTCATTTCCATTGAATTATGAAAAAAAATCAATTATTTCCCTTTGTTTTATATTTATATACAGTGTACATATGCTTATATCATAGGCATGTGTAAATTAAAAATGTATGGATTTATCACAATCGCCAATTTACAAATAAAAGAAACCTTACATAGATTCAAATGTTTGTTAAGTGACTTATTCAGGACTCAGAATTGTGCCTTGTATATTTAGTGTTATGAAATATTTGATTATTTCCCCTTTGTTAACAGTGCCATTACCACTAGAAGATGTTAAGATAACATTCCTGCCTATTGGCTCTTTGACAGATCTCTCCAAGAAGAGCAAATATAAACATTTATTCCACATAAGCTACTTCTCAAACAGGTAAAATGTTCATTCTTTTATTTTGAAATTTACATATTAACAAAATTGGAAATTACATATACATGTATTGTAATAATGTAGTTCTTATAAGGTTTAATTAAGTGCCATGTAATGCTGAAGATAATTCAGTCTATAATTGATAATCAAAATGACAAATCTATTGACAAATTGTGATCATCTCAAGTAAGGAATCATACAAAAACATAGATTTTTAAAATTTACAGCATGAATTTTTTTCTTATTATAAAAGGGAAACATGATATTCTGATGTTAAAAACCCAAAAACCCTGTCTTTTTTTTATAAAATGCAATTGTTACGGGTTATAAATTATATATTGTATTTTAATTTTAACCCCAATTTTTTATATTTCAGTATGGTGCTTTTTCTCAGCCAGGGGTTTAAATGTAATTTTTCCCTGAAAAAAGGCAACATTTTATATGGAACCAAAAGGAAAAATTTATTTATTTAAAACTATTATATTTATATGATAGGGAGATCTATCCAACTCACTCAAGTATTGACGCCGGCATCACACTTTTTGGTTAAGTTTTTCATACTACCCCATTTATTTCCTATATACCCTTTGAGGTATTGTTTCGAAACTTTAAATACTTATTAGAGACCATTAGGCATAATAGTTTAGGGTGCTGTCTTGTGGACAACTCTTGTTTTACTATGTAATTTCAATTCAATTTAAAAGTTTATGGCATAAAGCATGTAAATAAAATGTTATACCACAATACAAATTAAAATTTTATGATATGAAGTACATAGAATTCAAAATTTTAAATGGATAGGATATAGGTTCTAGTTTGTTCATCCTTCATTTCTATCCTTATTGTCAATTTTATTAACTGTTATTGGCTTCATCTATCAAGTTTTATCTTACATGTTTGATATGCCAATATCTTCTATTCTATTGTCTCATGTGTATGCTGTTTCTCACATCATTTTTCCATTGATTGATCAATATCTTATATATATATATTTTGATGATTTTTGAAATCTTTACATCTACCTTTGGGTGGAACTTCTAGGTCAGGGGGCATTAAGTTGACTGATGCTTTAGATAAATTTTGTTACTTAAATGTTTTAAAGTGAATAAAGCATCATATACCAATATTTTTTGTTTTTAATAAGATACTTTATAATTATTTGATCCTTCAAAAAGCACATGCAAAGCTTTATTGGCATGCTTATTGCAATAAGTGTAAACTGCCAGACCAGTTTACATACCAAGACAATCTGCTCAGATTCTCCTGCTTAGCTGCACATTTTTTATGGACCAAAATCAAGTTAAAATCAGCTCTAAGAAACTAGACAAAACAAACATAGAAAAGAACTTTTTTCATTCAAGCAATCATCTACAGTTATAAATGTATTACAGGTATATGTTTGGAGTTGAAATTAGAGCAAGTTGAAGATGTTTGTAGAGAAGATTCAGGGTATTGGTGCAAATGCTGGCTGCAAAGGTTTGTCATATTATTATATTTTACTGTACATTTTTTAGCTCGACTATTTGATAAGAATAAGTAGAGCTAGTTGGTAGTTACCTGAGCGTCGGCGTAACCACTTATGTTAAAGTTTTTTTGTAATTCCTCAAATATTTTCATAGTCCATTGACATATGGCTTTGAAACTTTGCACACTTGTTCACCATTCATGACCATAATCTGTAGACAAGAGGAGGTAACTCTATCAAGCATTTTGACAGAATTATGCCCCTTATTCAACTTAGAATTTACGTTAAAGTTTTTGTAAGTCACTTCAGAAATTTTTCAAATCCATTGACATATGGGCCTTTATAAACTTTGCAGACACTTTTTTCACGCATCATGGACCATCAAAAATTCTGTAAACAAGAGGAGGTAACCTATCGCATTTTACAGTAATTATCCCTTATTCAATTTTAGAATTTTACGAAAAGGTTTTTGTAATCATTCAAATATTTTCAAAGTCCATTCATTGGCTTTGAAACTTTGCACACTTTGTTCACCATCGTGCCCCTAATCTGGTAAAAAGAGGAAAGAAATTTATCAAGCATTTTTGATGAATAATTTCCCCTTTTTGCAACCCTTATAATTTACATTGAAGTTTGCAATATCAATCTCAGATATTTTTTATATTTCGAGTTTGACAACTGGCTTTTGAAAAAAGCTAAGTGAAATTTTTTATACACTTCTTTGAGAGCATTATAGGACTCTCTCCAAGGCCTTAACTGTAACATGGATTTAAAGAAAAAATTTGCCCTTTTATTAATTTTACATTATCAAGGTTCTTTTACTATCAAGCACTAAGAATAGTCGAGCTTGCTGTCCTACCAACTCTTGTTTATATTATTAGTGACAGTTGTCTGTACATTTCTTTGTAGAACAAAACAAACAAAGAAATTTGCTCAAGTTAAAAAGTTTTATTGTTAATTCCTGTCTAGATTTGTAATTTTAATCGTGATAAAAATATTAGTTCTAGATAAATAGATAATTCCAGTATGAATTGAAAAAATCTGATTTAAGTTGATAAATACAGTCCTGATTCTTATTATTTTACAGTCTCAGTAAAAAAAAAAATTATCTCCGCGTTACTAAATTGGTAATTCTTATCTAAATTGTTCAGTATCAGTCTAAAAAAAATTTTCAAAAAGATTATGAAACACTACGCTAAGTTCTTAAATTAATTGTTATCCCTGCAACATTGAAAGACTGGATTCACTATGTAGGGTACCTTCAATTTGTTTCTCAATTGGATATCTGTTCTGTTTACCATTTACAATTTTTTAAAGGAACATAATCATTCTGTCAGGCAGTAACATTGTTCAGGTTTCCTTCACTGATTAACAGCCCTTTGATTTTTCTTACATTTTTTACAGTTCCTTAAATAAACCTGTTGCTCAAATCTGCTCCATGGATCTAACCATAACTGGTGTTATATGAGTAAACATGGTTGTGACCCTCAGATAGAGTTTGAAAACCCATGGTCCCTGTGTTAGAGGCAAACACTTTAACCACTAGGTCACTATTCCATTTTTTTAAAAGGCAATTTAAGGGGCAGGTATCCCATGTGTTTTAAATTTAAAATTTGCAAAATTTTTTTATTTTTTTCCGAAAATTTTAAAAATTTTGGGGAATCAAAAGGGAAACTTTGTAAAAATGTCTTTTGAAAAAAAGAGTTAAAAAAGACAATTTTTAACCTGATACCAACATGGGGTTGATTTTTGAAAAGAGAATTTGTTTTGGCAAATTGAGGAATTTAAATATTTTCATTTAACTATGGTTTTAACGTGAAATTTCAAAGATGGTAGGGTTTTCAATTTGAAAGGGGCCCTATAAAAGGGGAGATCAAATCCAAATAGACACTTATCAGGGGGGAAGAAATCTTGCCAAAGAGTTGGAAAAAATTTCCAACAAAAAAAAAAACCAGTTTATTAAAATTTTTTTTGTTTTTTTTAAAACAATAAATTTTGGTTAAATCAAGGAAAACGAATATTTAATTAATAATAAAAAAAGTTAAATTTTCAAGAGAGGGCCAATTTTTAAATTTTGTTTTTTTTGCTATAAAAATTTTGACATCACAATTTTTTTTCAAAAACAAAATTTTATAAAAATTTAAATTTTGCTAAATTAAATATGTGAAAAAAGGGCAATAGGGTTTTGGGGTTAATACTTTTGTTTTAAAATAAAAAATTTTAAAGGTAGGGCAATTAAGACAATTAGGCAGTGGGGAATTGTAAAGGGTAATCTGGGGGAAAAAATAGTTTGTTTATTTAACCCAAATTACCTCTCTTAAAAATCAACATAAACTTGTCCTTGAAAAGTCTAAAACTTTAATTTCGCATTACATACTATTTTTAAAACTTTTTTCCCACTCGGGCCAAAGTTTGAATTTGGGGAAAACCTTTAACCACTTCGGCTATGGTACGACCCTTATGAAAAAATTAAATTTTAAAAGTTTTTGGGTGTAGACCAATTTGTTCATGTAGGAAACATTTAAGTATTGGTTATACCAAATCTACAATTATAGGTAAACTTGTAGAAACGCATTTATTATGTGCTGGTGGTGTAAAAATAAATAATATTAATTTATAATGTAAATTTATTTACAAATATAAATAATATGGTTGGCATCTTTGTAACAAACTTAAGAATTATCACATATAATGAAAGACGGGCAATGGTCCCATTAGCACCATTTTACAGTCTTATATATCTACCATCTAACAATACAGGTGGTTTTGATCTGGTATTTTTTTAAAAAGTTTTTAAATTTAAAACTTAATAATCATCAACTTAAAACATGTAAATAACTAAAAAAAAATTTCAATAAAACAAATGTTTAACACTGAACAATATGCAAGCAGTAATTTTAACATTCATATAGTGGCTGTTGCGATCTATAGATAGATAATCACCAAGGCAATTAGTCTATTTTATTATGCCAGCGTTAGTTTAATTAAATCTCCAAGGCAATCGGTCTTGATTATCTTGTCAGCATTTGTTTAAAAATCTCCGAGGCAATTGGTCAATTATATCTTGTCAGCATTTGTTTAAAAATCTCCAAGGCAATCGGTCTTGATTATCTTGTCAGCATTTGTTTAAAAATCTCCGAGGCAATTGGTCAATTATATCTTGTCAGCATTTGTTTAAAAAAAACAATGTTGATCTGGGTGCAAAGATACAGCATATATAAAGTAAGATATGGTCATTTCACACAAATAATTAAACTAATTGATATTTTTAAGAACAATGTATCATAGACATATATTTTTAGTTAAGATCATTTAAGTTGTGACAACTGCCAATGCACAACACAACTATAAAGACAAATAAACCATACAGATTAAAATAACTTAATAGTCTTAATGAGTAAAAGAAAAAAATAAGCAAGTTTCAGATCAGCTTCTGTCTTTATAAGTTGCAGATTAAAATTTGATATGGCTTAACTATTTAGGTAGATAACTAAATTTATTAGGTAAGACACATTACTACCTCATATACTAATCATATCTTTAGATTTAGACTGTTAAAGGAGAAAAAAAAATGCTATGAGTTTTTGTTCAATTATAAAAATCCTGTTAAATAGGAGTCTTCTAATCAAAGAAGCACTGATCAGTTTTTATACGCCCGTTTGAAAAACGGGACGTATTATGGGAACGCCCCTGGCGGGCGGGCGGGCGGTCGGGGGGGCGGGCGGCGGGCGGCGTCCAATTTTGTCCGGAGCATATCTCCTACATGTATGGAGGGATTTTAATGAAACTTCATATAAATGTTCACCACTATGAGGAGCAGTGTCGCGCACATGAACCAGGTCTCTAGGTCAAAGGTCAAGGTCACACTTAGAGCTCATTGAAAAATGCTTGTCCGGAGCAAAACTTCCACATGTATAGAAGGATTTCAATATTACTTGGCACAAATGTTCACCATTGTGAGGCGGAGTGTCGCGTGCAAGATTCAGGTCCTTGCGGCCAAGGTCAAGGTCACACTTAGAGGTCAAAGTTCAGATAAAAATATGAAGATGTGTATATGGACCATTTAGTCATCATTTATTGAGGGA